TTTGTGATCTTAATTTCTAGTATTTTAAGAATTATTTAGAAAGGAGTTAGATTGTAGCATTTCCAATAGTCTGATGAAGTGTATGTCTTAATCATTCTAGCTTTCCCCAAGCTTATATTTTGGATTAGGAATCTGTCAAAAGATTACTATTTTTCCTATAATTTTATCAAATTAAAAAATCAATGATTTTTTGCATCTTATATGAAATCGAATTTTCCTTATATGGCTTATAGATTTATCTGTTTCGAACTATAATTTTTTTTAATGCATCTAACTTCTTTGAAGTTTCATCTTTATGTAGTTTTCATTTATTCTGCCGCAATTTCCTCGCATTTTTTACAATTATTGCCCTTTATTTCCTTTAGAGATATTATTCACAAGGAGACTTATGAAGATTATGATATTATTTTATGCTTATTTTCTAATTACCGAATATCATCCCAAACTTTGTTCAAAGAAAAGAAAGAGTGAACCAAAAATAAAATTTGCCTCATGTTACTTTGTTTTCGTTTTAATCCTTAGTTGGGAAGGATTAATCATGGGCAGTAGAGTAAAAATGATGGGGATTACTATCAATTACACAGTTAATTAAATTATTATGGGTGGCTGGTTGATTCATATTTCTATTCCCATGTCATGTGAGATGAAATAGTTCCTCAGATGTATCACTTGTATCCCCCTGGGGAGAATGTGTTGAAAAATTCTTCTGCATTGCTTTATGTATGTCTGAGATCTTCTGAGATATTTAGCTTGAATTATAATTTGTAAGGAGGTCAATATAATTTATAATTCCCTTCACTACTGAGCTGAGTCATTTAAGAATCATAGTATGTCATTGTAGTTTTGATTGCTCAGGCATACTTCATTAAATACCGACCTCTCACATAATTCCCAATCTTAAAAGATTTCTCTCTCTCTCTCTCTGTGTGTGTGTATGTGTGTGTGTTTTTATGCGACATTCATATATTGTTTTATATATTTGGTATTTTATTTCCAGAAAACATACAGAACAAACCTTCTATTGGCCTACCAGAGCTTTGGTGTTGTGTTTGGGGACTTGACCATTTCCCCCATCTATGTATACAAAAGTACCTTCTCTGGAAAATTACGCCTTCATGAAGAGGATGATGAAGTTCTCGGGATCCTCTCTCTTGTGTTTTGGACTTTAACTCTGATTGCTCTCTGCAAATACACAGCCATTGTTTTAGGAGCAGACGATAATGGTGAAGGTACTTGAAGAACTCAAATTTAATACATCTCTCATGTCTTATCCTTTCTTTAGTTAACTTGGATTGGCTCAATTTAACAGGGGGAACATTTGCTTTGTATTCATTGCTGTGCCGGAACTCAAAGATGGGTCTTTTGCATGCCCAGCATGCAGTTCCTGAGCACTTGGCTGCTTATAATCCTGGGACGTCTGGTAAAGAGACTAAAACTACTTTGATTATAAAGAACTTCTTCGAGAAGCATCAGAGCTCTCGCATCCTACTGTTGCTTTTTGTACTCATGGGAACTAGTATGGTTGTGGGAGATGGTGTTTTGACCCCGGCAATGTCAGGTACACTTCATTTTTTCTTTGATGAATTGCTGAATTTACGCTATTGAGTGACGATCTTCATTTTGAAATTAGAGGGTGAACTTAGTAAATCCTTTTCTTATAGATAGCGACTCAAAATTTGATATGGTGAGCACAAAATTTGATAAGATAGGATGCTAGTATGAAGGTCATGTAGAATCATGGAAAGACCATCATTTAATCTCCCATTTTAAACGGTAGTATAAAATGAATCAAATAAATTACAGAATGGATTTGTTTTCTTTTTTTTTTTGTTTCTTTGTCAATGTTTAGTTTGTCTTTACTCTGAAAAACTCAGGGGAGTTTTAAGTTGGAAAATTTGAGTAACTAATAATACTTATTGCCTTAGACAACAGGCTTCCATATTCATAAGTCATAGTTGTTTCAGAGGCATTTTTTTTTTCTAATTGTTTAACTTACCAAATTTCTGTTTTTAAGGCAAGCTCGGGCTATTCATTTATGAATAATTTGTTTGATCCGTTGTGTCTTGCAGTCCTTTCTGCAGTATCAGGCCTCGAAATCAAATTCCTGGAGCTACATGAAAGTGAGTGTCTCGACTGCATAATAATTTATTTAACGCTACTCTTCTCTCTATTGAACAATGCGTCTTTAATCTGTACAAGTAAGGAACCCCTTTGACTGGAGGTACGTCTGTATTGCTTTGAATACTCGGTTTTGATTCTTGTATCTTCTACTGTATGTTAAAATTAGATAGGGACCTCTTTGGATTATTGCCTTCACAATCTCCAAACCACATCTATCCCCTTCATAGGTATCCAATGTGCACTTTCTGTTATCTAATATGTTTCTGTGGGCACTTTCGTACAAAATATTGATGTTTGAATTAATTTGTTTCACTTGACATTTCATTACGTATGGATTGCAGTAATTTTCTAAATTATGTGTGTTTATATATGACATGCAGATTACTCCGTGTTTATTGCTTGTCTTATTATAGTGGCCCTTTTTGCCTTACAACACTATGGAACACATCGTGTCGGCTTTCTTTTTGCACCAATTCTTATTGCTTGGTTGGCCTGCATCGGTGGGTTAGGCATATACAACACAATCAAGTGGAATCCTAGTGTTGTTCGTGCTATATCTCCATATTACATTTATAACTTTTTCAAGAAGGCGGGGAAGGATGGCTGGAGTTCACTTGGAGGTGCTGTCCTTTGTATCACAGGTTTGTTGCAATTTTCTAGAAAATACTCCCAAGTCCCTACATTTTCCATTACTAGGATTGCTAAGTTAGTTGAATAAACAGGTGCTGAGGCAATGTTTGCTGACCTTGGGCACTTCTCTAAGATCTCAATCAGGGTAAGGTCTTATTATTATTGTTTTTTCATATGAAAATTTTATATAATGCTGATAATTATGCGACCTACTGATCTAAGAGATTTTCTGCCTTTCTTAACATTTTCCTAGTAGTTGAATTTTCTTTTGTTTTTCTTTATGCTATCGATGGAGGGTCGTTGAACATTTAGGCCTTATGTTTGACGTCAAATTTGCTCTAAAACCCAGATGAAGGCATTCATTCGGAATTATGTTTCTTAAACTGGCAAATTGGTTTTGTAAACATCCAACTATTTGATAATTTAAACAGTTGAACAATTTATTTGCAAATTCAGAAATTTAGATTTCTTGCTTTTTACTGCTTTCTGTTGAATGTGAAAGCTATAATCTACATGACATCCATAAACACCTTCCATATCTGATATTTGTAGATGACTTCATATCTGTCAAAGGAGAACTCAAAATGTTTTTTTTTTCGGTTTCACACCTGAAACAAACAAATCTTAGTCAGCACTACACACATTTCCTTGAGACCCATCTTGATTTCGTATTACAAGGCATAGAGCAAATTTAAAAAATTAAAATAGATGGTTGAGTGACACAGTTTTTAGTTGGCATTAGCAGGGGATGCAGGTGTAGACTGTAGAGTCAGGGATTGAAGGGTAACCCATAATGCATGGGTCTAAAAAGAAAAAGGAAAAAAAGTTACATCTCATTTCTTCCAAAAGATTGGATGTTTAAATCCCACTACCATGCCCATTATGATGGTTCAAAGAAAATTCAGATTATAGTTAATAGAAGTTACAAACATTGTTTGAACTATTTACCTATTGACCTTGTGACAAATACTTGTATTCTATGATATTTATCCTGAGAAATTTTGATTGTTTGAGAAGTTGTTAGTTAGTTCGGAATTCTTTATGGCAGATGGCATTTACATGGATAGTTTATCCCTGCTTGTTACTGGCATACATGGGGGAAGCTGCTTACCTATCAAAGCACAAGGAGGACCTCGAAAGAAGCTTCTTCAAAGCCATCCCAGGTATTTCCTTATATAGTTCATGTTACTGTAAGAAAATTCTCCTTTACTCTAATTGTTGGACATACTTATTTCTTTCAATAGTTTACTGTCAGTTTTTTAGTAGCAATTCCTCATATGTTTTTGGACTGCATTTCCTTCAATTAGACTTCATGCTAGCTTTAGTCTGATTGTTGAAAACTGTTTCCATGCATATGGAGCCTGTTCACGTATTAATATATGGTTTTGAAAATAGTTAGTTCTCCTCTCAATTTTCGTGTTGAAAATGAGTAGAAGAAAATTGTATGCACCGATATTAACAAATGCAACATTTTAGCTTTCCATATTATTTTGTCAGAAACTGGAACCTTTTCCCAAGACTATTAATGGTTATCTACAGTAATTACAAATACAAAAGTTAATATGTTCTGATACACAAACATAGGTTAGTATAATGGTAATATGCAAGGCAATAAGGGGATAACTGACATGTAACACATATCTATAACAGACTCAACATAACTATAAAATTTGAACCCTTAAGTTAACTTTTTTTATTGGATTTACTAGAAAGAGTTGAATAAATTACTTGATATATTTGTTCATTCTGGTTGACACTTGTGAATGTAGAAGGCGTATTCTGGCCAGTATTTGTCATTGCAACATTAGCCACCATTGTTGGTAGCCAGGCGATAATTTCTGCCACCTTCTCCATAATCAGTCAGTGTAGGGTATTTGGTTGCTTTCCTCGAGTTAAAATCATCCATACATCAAACAACATCCATGGCCAGATCTACATACCGGAGGCGAACTGGCTCCTGATGTTTTTATGTCTTGCAGTCATAGTTGGTTTCAGAGACACAGACATGATTGGAAACGCTTATGGTTAGTCTCTCTACAACTTTCCTTCAGGCTGAATAATTTTCTTTTGCATTGAATTGCAAATTTTATACTTTAACCCAGTTCAAGTTAGTAATACAGCGTAGGATTTTAAACAGTTGCAGGATACTTATAGGAAACTTAAAGAACTAAACTAAGTACTTTACATGTAAATTCTAATATAAACTATATTGAATTATTGATGTTGATACCAGTATCTATTAAGGACTTTTTAAAATGAAGTAAACAAACTCTTCTTCATGTCAATCCCAATGCTTAAAGATGTTGTATTTCAAAGATTTGACAGTTCATGTTAACAAGTGAACTTTATGCAAGTGCCAAAAAATTAGTTCCAGATTAACTTCTTAAGGACATAAAATACAAGTAGTTTGTGGATAAGGATTAGTAGGTTTTATTTATTTTGTTTCCATCTATAATTTGGTGAGGAATTAGCTTTCAGTCTTTTATTTATCAGAAAAATTTGTTTTCACAAGATTTAACAAACTTGAAGTTGTAAGTAATCTCCTAGTAAAATATCATCCATTAACCATCAACATACCAGAACCTCCATATTTGCACCTTCAAATGCTAGAAATATTGAATAAGAGAGAAATCACATATATAACCACAAAAAACCTAAACTTAAGAAATCTGTGCTCGCAAATATCATTCTTCAAAGTAACTAAACCATAAAAATGTAACTTTTGGGGGTACATAAAAGAACTTTGACTAGCTCTTACTAATAGTTCTCTTTTGGTGTCTAGGCCTCTCAGTCATCACAGTAATGTTGGTCACCACCTGCCTCATGTTTCTCATAATTACGACGGTGTGGAACCAGTCTGTTTTCTCCGCTTTCCTCTTCACCATCATTTTCGCCTCATTGGAGCTTCTCTACTTCACTGCCTGCCTCTTGAAGTTTCCTCATGGTGGTTGGCTCCCCTTTCTCCTCTCCATAATAACCTTAACAACAATGTCAATTTGGCACTATGGCACTGCCAAAAAGCTCAACTTCGAACTCCATAACAAGGTCTCCCTTGATAGCCTCCTCTCTCTTGGCCCCACCCTTGGCCTTGCAAGAGTTCCTGGTGTCGCCCTTGTGCTCACCAATAGTGTTGCTGGTGTTCCTCCAATGTTTGCTCACTTTGTAACCAACTTCCCAGCCTTCCATCGTGTTCTCATATTTGTCTCAGTTCAGACTTACGTGGTACCAACAATCCCAGAAAATGAAAGGTTCTTAATAGGAAGGTATGGTTCAAAAGAGCATAAAATGTTTTGGTGCATTCTTAGGTATGGATACAAGGATGGAGGAAGAGATAATTATGACTTTGAGAATAGGTTGTTGGCCAAAGTGACCGAGTTCTTACGATTTGAACGTGTTGGTAATGTTGGGGGCATGAGGAGGGTGAGATTTGTGTGTGAGGATGAAGAATGCAAGGAAGTAAAGGAATTGATGGAGGAGAGAGAGGCAGGGGTGGCTTATATGATGGGGAATACAATTGTGGTGGCAAGGGAGGATGCACCCTTGGTGAAGAAGTTGGCAATTGATGGGGTGTATGGTTTTTTGCGACGCAACTCAAGGAGGCCAGCAGTTGCTCTAGGGGTCCCGCATACATCACTGATCGAGGTGGGGATGGTGTACAATGTGTGATCGATGAAGATAGACCTGTGAATTGTAATTGAGTGTATAAAAAAATGTGAAGAGAGAGATACTGAAAAAATGTTAACGTTGTAATCATAGTGTGACTAATACTAAAAGGAAATGTTATTAGAAAAATTGACTAGTACATCACGGGAATGAAATGTCATAACCAATGATCTTTGTAGAGGGGAGATGGCTAATAACAAATATTTCCTCTTTGTTCTGTGAGATTCATTGTAGTGCTAATATGAAAAATGTGCGTATCTAGATATGCTTTTATCTTTAGATTTTGATCAATAAATATAGTTTTCGATACTTTAGCTATTTGTGTTTGTGGTCATGTAGTGTGGTTGACTGATGATGCTGAGATCAGGTCCGGATCTAACAATACCCAGAATTGACATGATATCAGTGCTATAAATTTGAATTATACTTAAATATATCAGCTTACATACATATTGAAGATGCACTGGAAACAATTAAATAATCATCAATTTACATACTCTGTAGCAGAACGAAATTTAGAAATTATTAAACATGTACAATGTATTAATCTGTACACTCTTGCACATTTCAAGGATCATGGTTTAAAAAAAAAGATCAATACAGACATGTGCTATAGAGTATATGAAACCTCAAATCACCTTCCTTCACTGCTGATGCTCGTGCTCACCAGTGGTTGCGATGGTGAAAGTGTGCCTCTGCGATAAACTGCCATACTTGAGTCTGATGTCCCACTATCATGGCTATAATTTGAGGTTGAGGCTTTTGAGAAGTCACTACTCACGAAATTGCTACTCAAATCCTTCAAGTGCCATTCTGTCAAGTAACCAGGCCTTGTTGTGACTTCAGGCACCTCAATATCTCCTGTTAGCATAGCCACTACCCTTGACATGTGAGGTCGTAGCATTGGTGATGCCTGTGTACAAAGAAGCGCTACTCCCATGAGTTGAGTGGCCTCTTTCTCGTTATATGATGATAGTTTTGAGTCCACCAACTCTAGGTCATGCCTGTTCTCGTGTAGACGCCATGCCTGCCAACATAGAAATGTCTCAAATTTGTACTTATGACTATTACTTTTTTTTCAATCCTATCCGACGTGGTATTACACTTGTACATGAATCTCCAACAATTAACACTTAAAGCTACTGAGAACAGTCAACATACCCATTCAAGAAGGTAAATCTTTTCTTCATCAAGTGTTGTATCTGCATTAGGTCTTCCACTAAGAACCTCTAGCACAACTACCCCGAAGCCAAATACGTCAGCTTTTTCTGTGAGATGACCTCTCATGGCGTATTCTGGTGCCAGATAACCACTGATGCAACATGCACATTACATGATTAAACAAATACAGAATTTTAGTTTTATGTGTATTCTTAAGTAGGAATTGTTTGTCTACTTAATAGAGAGAAAATTGCAAAAGAAAGCGGCTTTATGAAAATAAATTGGACTAACATTGTACCGGCAACCCTGGTGGTAATGTGAGTCTTATTGTCATCATAAAGCTTAGCCAGACCAAAATCTGATATTTTGGGGTTTAAATCAGCATCGAGGAGTATGTTGCTAGCCTTGACATCTCTATGTACTATCCGGATCCTTGATTCTTCATGGAGATATGCTAGACCTCTGGCAGTACCCAAACATATTTCGAAACGAGTTGCCCAATCCAGGTATATATTGTTCTTTCCTGCAAAAAGACAAACTGTCATCATACATAACTATTGATGCATCCTTACTAAGTAAATGTCAGGCTTTATTGATTTATACCAAAAATTGCCTGATCTAGACTTTTGTTCTCTAGATACTCATAAACCACAAGTCTCTTAGCTCCCTCAATGCAGCAGCCATATAATTTCACTAGATTCCGATGCTGCACTGCTGATATTGTCCCAATCTCTGCCACAAACTGTCGCTTCCCTTGGTGAGATTGCACTGATAATTGTTTCACAGCCACTAACCTTCCATCAGAGAGTTTACCCTGCACAAAACATGTCATTTGCTACAAAATATTCTTATTCTCTTCAGAATTTTTTTTGGCTAACACTATCGTCTACGTCCAACATTATTATATTATATCAATATTATGGCTGCTATATTAAAGTAAAAATAGACCTTATACACGGGTCCGAATCCTCCCTCTCCTAGTAGATTAGCAGGATTGAAGTCATTCGTAGCAGTCTTTAATTCAGAATAACTGAAGGTGTCTGGTCGAATGGATAATCCAGACAACTCTGCGAAGCAAAATAATAATAAATAATTAAACAAACATAAAGAGATGCATAAGATTTACTCACTCACTTCTAGTTCATACCTTCTGCATCTTCCTGGCTAAGTCTTCTTTTCCTCTGTCTCCATGTAAAAACTCCAATTACAGCAAGAAAGCCTAAAAATCCAATAGCAACCACGATCCCCACAACAAGACCCGTATTATTACTTTTTGAAGAGGTATTTGGCGGTTTGTTAGAGACAGTAGGAGTGAAGTCTGAGGAAGAAATTTGATCATAAGAAAAAAGGAGATAAGATATTTATGATTGTTTTCGTGTTAAAGGTTCATACCATAGGGAGCCACAGTAAGCGCAGAAATGGATGGACCATAATAGCCCTGAGTAGGAACACAGCAAGTACCCTTTCCAGCCCAAAAGAAGTGTATTTCAAGGAAGTTGTTTGTGACCGGTGCTATGTACTGCTTCTCAATAGCTCTAAAAGAGACTCCTCCAGCCGCCTTCCTTATATCAAAATCCTTCTCTTCTAGTTTTCCCTGAAGTAATGGTGAATTAAAATGAAACAGACCTACAAAGAATGGCGGAAAATATACCATTGCGTGTTGAAGGAAGTATATCTTTTTATGTCTTTCAAAAAAAGTAATTTTTCTAATTACCTGAATATATATATTGAAAACCCTTCTCCCTACACTTTTCCATGTAGAAGAATCAGGAAAGGCAGTCTCAGCGAACTGCAATGTAACACTGTAGTTTCCATTCTGAAGACCGAGGCCATAGTATCTAAGTGATGATGGAGACATCCTTGCTGTCTGAAACAGTTCAGGATCTAGAGTATTTTGGAATTGTGATAAGTCATTGATTATATAATCAGCACCAGGAGCTTCAGCAAAGCTTCCAGCATTGCTGACCGCCCACCTGTCCGACTCCTTGACATAATATGACGCAGTCGTGAGATTAGCATTGTCAATATCATAGTCAGTTCCATCAGAACCTGTTATAGCTCTACTTCCGCCACAATTTATTGCAAAAGATGAATCTGCATAAAAAGAATTGTTGGTATTAGTCAGATTTTGAAGGCAGACCTTTTCTATGTAGACAAATTACTTACATATTGGAGAACCACGATTGCACGGTATGTTACTCTGAAGACAATTTAATCCTGAAGATAAACCGCTGCATATCAAAGTGAGAAAGGGTATGCTTTATCAGATGGATATTTGGCTCAGAATGACACAAGTCATGAGACATATAGAAAAAGAATTGCATAATTTCTTTTCTAATCAGTCCCTAACATTATAACCTAAAACCTTAATAGGGATGAGAAGACATGGGTTTTTGTATTTAAGGCATATGGTATAGTATGGATATCATCCGGATGTCCAATTATATGCATTTTCAATTGAAAATATGAACTCAAATCAACAACAACTTAATCTGATACTCTAATATTCAGAAAGAAACATCGGTTCAACATTCAAGTTTAGTCTCTTCTTTAGATAAAACAAGAAAGTTGTGTAATAGTTATTGATGGAGTAAGCACCTGCTATTAGAATTATCAATCACAAAGTTGTTGGCGACCAGGTTCCTGCAAAGATACAAATAATAGGAGTTAGGAATGAAAATTTTAAAATGGTTTACTGGCAACTAGACCATAACTAAGCAATCAAATGGATGGACGTTTATATGACATATTTTTAATTCAATACATTCTTTTACTTTAATCTTGCGCACCTTAAGATTATTTTATTTTACTCTTTTCATTAGTGAAATCTATGAATCTTTTTAGAACACATCTGTAAGCAAACTCCAAATAAGAT